GACAGGGACACAAACAGAACAAGTCTGTAACTGATGCATTGTACCGAGACAGGGTTCCYGCRGATCCTTAAAAAGTCTTAAAGGCATTGAATTCACCAATCTAAAAATAAGATCTTAATTARCCTTAAATGTCTTAAATCAATCTTTCAGAGGTCTAAAATGTTAACACACTGGAAAATAATTTAATAATAATAATTTAACTTGCCCTAAGCTAAGAATAGCCACAGCTCACAACTACAGTCCCCCGCAGGGCCTGAATGCATTAAAATGCATACAATATATAATTTTACAGATAAACCTTTAGTTTGCACTTTAAATATTTTTTTGTAATAAAGCAGAGCTATTGAAGTGTTCTAGGAAAAAGCATCCAGTCATATATGACTAAGGCCTTTCATGTATACTTTTGCCTGATTAAACCACAACAGGAAGGCAGCATGTTTTGCAGTGTTTGTTTGTCAGGACTGCAATTTCCTCCATTTAATCTAACTTATGTGTTCAATGGAAAAAGCATCAACAGGATTTTATATATACATATAGTGCACTAAGTGATGGGTCTATACATGTTATTGCTGCATATAGTGTGCATTGCCCCCTGCAGGGCCCCTGCTCTTGAATTCAAAGTTATTTGTTATAATGCTAAACTTTACTTCCTGTGATTTGCGTTGGTGATAAGCTGTGCTGACCAAGATGCATGTTGTTTGCAATTAGTGTGCACACGCAAATGACTGTGTTTTAACAGTTGAACAGTAGTGGGTGTGTGGATARTGACTCTTGCTTTGTCATTCCTGTTTTTGTTTGGCAGTGTCGTAGGTGGTTACCGCAGGTTTATTCAGGTCAACACATCTGATGTTCTGTCCTGGACCACTAACACAGTGGATATAATGAAAAAGGCCATTTTTTACTCCCCGATGGTACTCAGGAGAAATAATGTGGAGGAAAAAGCTCCTGGCAAACATTTATCGTGCTGCCATCGAGGTTGTTCATTGACAGGGGTTCCCAAACTTAATTAGCTTCTGGCCGAGGACCCCCCTTACAAACTCACCAACAACGCTATGAAATACGTAAATAAACATCAACTCTTAAAATGTTTTTTTACACTTTTATTCTCGATTCAATAATGTTTGTTTAGCAGAATTTTATTAACTAACATGTTTTTCAGCACTGTATTATATTCCAACTGAAAAACTCAACTTTTCAACAAACTGTGATTAAAAACAGCAAAAGAGATCAAACCTCTTAAATAATATTTAAATATATTCTTATAAGTTTATATTTTTAAACCATGGGTTCAAAACAAATTATTTTAAAATTTTAAATATTTTTTCTTATTTCTCATCCAGCTTTCTGAGGGCCCCCTGGCGGCCCCAACTTTGAAAAACACGACATCATAGCTAGGGATGCGTATCGATAAGATTTTATCGATACTACAAGTCTTATCATGTTTATTGACCTACCATTTTAACAGTCTTCTTATCAATGCTTTTCTACAGGGATAAAACCCAAAACAAACTATGAATAATCAATGCTTCTATTGGAGAACAACAGAGAACAGGGATTTTCAAACTGTGGGGCGTATTTTTTATTTAATCACCTTACATCACAACAGTGCCTTTTCTTCTTTCCTTTGGGCAATGTGGCTGAAAAATGATATATAAGCGTTGCATATCAGTGGATATTGATAATTATTGATCAGTTTTTTTGTTTTACTTATTTGAAATAAGGACCAGGAGACAAAAGGCTGATGATGATGTGACTTTTTCTCTGTCCACAGTTTCCTCTCGAGCTGTTGCCTCATTTTCTCCTTTCACTCCGCATGGTTCTTTTTTATTTTGAAGCAGTTATGAGGCACGGTGGTGAAACAGGAAACTGCTGCACATTACTCGACAGGTTGTTGCTAGTAAATCGGCCAGACGATTTATCGGCACAGTTTTCTTTAATTTCGGGAGATTAGAGGTCGGTCGATACTTGGAAAAGATCGGCTTCTTATCTTCCTCCACAAAGACTTGAAAATCAGCCACTGTCCCCTTTAGCTCTGCTGTGAGCACATCCTATCAGTTAAAACTAGTTTGTATTGTTTCAAGGGTATTGCTCAATGTATTTCAATAAAATAAGACTGGAACAATGAATGTGTATTGTGAACTTATAACACCTGTCAGTGTCAGCTATTTAAAAAAAATCAGCACCTGCCAAAGTTGGAATCTGCAGGACTTTTTAAAGATCTGTAATCAGCCAGAAAACTGCAATCAGTGCAGCCCTACTCGAATGTGATTGTAGTCTTAATAGATCAAACTTTTAGTATCTGGTTTGTTACATTATTTACTTATCAGTTAAAAAAGGCACAGTTCCTTGCAGTTCAGATAGAATTTTTTTTATCCAGCCTGCCAGTTGTTCTTGACTTGTGGTGCCTTCTCCTCATCGCTGCAGAAGTCTGAACATGTGAAAAACTATTTTTCAGACTTTGTCCCATATTTAGCATCAGCATGCAGTTACCTATTTTTGGAAGCAATGTAATTAAAATAGATGACTACTCATAACGTGTTGCACAACCGCAAATTATGTTCGGATTTTCTAACATTGTCTAAAGTTAGATTTTTACAATTCATGTTGAAAACACAGTCTTCATTGTGAATGTGTGTTTTTGTTAGATTGTGCAGCGTGTACTGCAGTAAACATGTGTCATCTGTGTGAGCGGTCTTGTTCTTGATTATGGTACAGCCCTGCAGTCTGTCTCAAAAAGATATTCAGGTTTCACATCTAGGTCACTTGAAAGAAAAAAAAGGGACGTGATTCTGGCTCCTGAGCCGTATCTCTGCAGTGCAATATGGTGAAGTCATATTCATAGAATGCAGCGCCGCAGCGGCCAAAGAAGGTTAAATCAAAGTTATCAGAAGGTTGACATTTTCAGGCTTATTTGTTAACTCTTTTTTTATTTGTTTAAGTTACCTTGAAATTTTTGGAAAAGGAGTAAAAGAGTGTAAAATAACCCGAAGAGGAACATTCTCAGTTTAATTTCTCTTCAATTATTTTATTTTATTTTATTTTATTTTGTTTTGACACCAGAGCAGGTTGACTGGCAGGTGGTGGTCTGAACCAGTGTTGTGTAAACCGATCGGGGAGGATTCCTGGGCTGAGCAGGAGATAGTCACAGGATATCTCCCTGAGAGGGCTTGGATGTCACGTTGGGCTGCAAGAGAAACACATGCTCTGTTTCATGTACCAAAAAAAACATCTTAATCAAAATGTGCTGCAGTGTTATATTCTTGTTGCATTGATAGATTAGTTCCTATATTCAATATCCTATTTAAGGGTTTAAAATGAGATTGTTTTGGATTAAATTGTTCTTCTGTCTGGATTAAATAAACCATGTCCTCATTAACCACCTACTGTCTTTCAGAGGCAAAGGGGATCAGATTGCCAAAACCCCGATCAATAACCTCTCCTGGCCCCTGGGCCCCACAAAGCTCTTTATCAGAAGACACTTGTGGTTAAGTGCACTCCAGCCTCCTTCTGTTTCCTTTAGCTGCTTTTTGTCCAGATGAGTGCTTTTCCCTGTGGACATAAAATACAGGCTTTTAATGCTCACACTCACCACATCCTGTTTGAGTTGGGGGAAAATTAGCCCATCATTGTGCTGCATTTGTGACAAATATGGCCGTAGCCTTCGCATTTCCTCAACCACCATGCRGTGAACAGGTCAGTGACTTGAGGTTGAGCTAATTAAAAATGTAATTTTTGTTCTCGCTGCTCGGACATGTCTTCTCACAGTCACTCCTTATTTGTGCGTCACTGTAGTTTTTCTCACAAACCTGATAGCAAACTCTCTCTTTCGTATTTGATTTTGTTGTTGGTGTATTTGTGGTGCTCCGGAAGCCAGGTGTTAATTTTTAAACTTGCAAAGATAATTTATCTCTTACATATGTTGTTTTTGATTATTGACTAAAGTATTTGAGTCATGCAGCTATTTTATTTTCAAGGATGGCATTAGAGGCATCAGCTTTTGTCTGCAACCTTTCTATGCCTATTAGGGTGATGTTGTTTACATAAATGCCCAGCCAGCTGTCTGCATATGTTGGATGTTGCTTATCATTTTATCACTCCCGTTTATAAAAAAAAAATGTAAACCACTCACACATCAATCATCTCCTCTTTTGCTCCATCTTYCTAGAATTCGCTGCAGCGARAACTGAAACTATCCAGTTTGATCCCAGTGAGACATTTTAAAACACGTTTTCAAAGAAAATGGAGAAATGTCATTTTAAGCTTGCTCTAGATTTAAGATTAGTTTGTTTGATTTTGCTCTCTGTTAAATGTCAACATAATGTTTGATCGTTGTGTAATTGATGTTTGTGTGCAGGTCTCTCTTGTAAATGAGACTACCTGTCTAAATAAAAGTGTAGGAGCCATTTATCCTTTCTGGTGTTTATTGCCACCAGGGGGCGTAATTTAATTTTGAGTTCTGAGTGTCTGATGGGAGGATGGGTTATTTAAGGTCAACCATGATTCTGTTCAGGTGTGGTTAATAGGTAGAGGCAAACAGTTTTCTACTGTGCTTGGTTTTGGATGTATGTCGAATTTATGTGGATCTTAATGGAAACAGTAAGACAATGGACACTGTACTGAAAATAAATGACTTTATTTTATGTCAAACGGAAGATCGGCATGCTGAATCTTAATTGAGCGCACGTAAAACCATGCCTTTCAAGAACAACCRCCAGTAGCCTAAAATATAGGATTTTAGCCGCTACAAAAAGTAAATAAATAACACAAAGATGTGCATTCTCCTGGTTTTAAAAAGCCAGACTACTACAGCCTCACTTTTCTTGTCTTCAGAGGAGTTTGATTTGGTTTTTCATTGAAAATCATGTGTTTGGATTTTACCAGTGCTGCCTCTGGCAAACTGTATCTCAGATCCCAACAGCTGGAAGTGCTTTCATTTAAATATAAATGAACCATTTAACAAGTGGTTGTTTCATTCAACACATTTCACTTTTTTCTTTCAGGTGTTGCCATGCTTAAACCGGGCACCACTAAGCCAGGGCTGCCCAAGTCTGGACTTCAGGAGCGGGTCAGGCATACGTCACTGGCTTTCCCTCCCTCTGCCTCCACAGTGATGAAGACCTCCAGATCCTCCAACACGTTGGCCTCAGACCAGCGGCTCAGTAAGGTATACCAACATTTATTATAATATATGTATCATTAAGCTTTAAACATGAAACAAATTTGATCCTTATGAAACAACGTGCTCGTAGCTAAAAAGAGCCAGCAGTGATGACGCCCTGACGAAGCCCACGCCGGGAGCTGCTGCCTCTGGCTCCAGGATGAAGAAGACGGTCACTACTGGAGCTATTTCAGATCTAGCAGAGGCCCGCCCTCGCAGCCTTTCAGGTAGGACGCCGTGGTTGTTGACGTGAGCATGTTCAGCCAGTAGATGGCGACAGTGAACCAGAAATAACGCTCAGCTTTAAACATACAGAACAGAGACGTCATAAATAATTATCAAAAGTTTGTTAAAAAAACAGAAACCTGAAACGCATCAAACACTTTTATCACACACAGATGCTTCCAAAGCAACATTTAAAATAAAGGTATAAAGTAACTTAATGCAAAACATGTCTGATCTTTTTTTTTTATAATCCAGCAGTTTATATTTATAATTAAGATTTACCATTCCCTGAAAGGCTGCCTGTTGCCCGCCTTCTTTGTTAWGTTGTTAAGATTATTTCCTGTAAGTTTCAGTAAAGTTGGTCAAGTGATTCATGACATGTTTTTTTAATAGAGTTGACTCATTTTTAGTGTCACAGTTTAAAACACTGGAGTTCAGCATTACAAAATTGTCAAGAAGGTAAAAAAAAAAACGTACAACAGTTTGGTGGTCGTGTGTGTGTCTGTGTTTACACACTGATTTGCAGCATGCTTCAGGAGGAAAGTAAGTCTCATTTGTTTTATGTTTAGTTGTCAAGGAATTATAGGTTAGATATGAAAAGCTTGTCTGTTTCTTTTTTAAGTAATATAAAAACCAGAAAGCATCAGTATCAATACAGTGTTTTAAGTTTAATACACACTATGCATCAAACAATACAGATAAAAAAATATTTTATTAATTTATCTGAAGATGCTTTGTGTTGAAGGATCAGTGGATCTGTGTTCGACTACGCCCCCTTGGCTGCATTGTCGAGTGCAGATCCACTGAGGAACTTGCTGTTTCAGCAACTTTTAATTTAAAAACTGTACTTTTGAGGTTAAACAAATGTTCTGAATTAATTTAAATAAATTACAAGTTAAGAAGGGTATGGACATTTCTCTTTWYTGTATCGAAAAAATATCGAACCGTAAATAATAAGTAGTAACAACATGATTAGCTGACACTAGGACACATACGTATGATAAATCTGGCAATAGATAATAGTATGAACTTCAGTGGTTCAGAGTGGATCCCTCCGTGGGGCAGATATCTGTTTAGGGCGGCTGAGCCCCTCTTCCTTTAGATGCTGTGGTGTTTTAATTCCTTAAAGGATGACGACGCAAAGATAATTGAATTCTGCATGACAAAAAACTTTGGAGAAACTGAGCCRAGCTAGTCTTTGGTTTCTTTTAGACAAAAATAACTCATAATCAGTTTTCACTGATCAACCAAGGTTTGGTTTTCACACCAAAGAAAAAGACAATATTCCTACTTTAATACACTAACATGTACAGTTTTTACCTGAAATTGATTTGCTTAAAAACTCTTGATCTTGAAAGTTGAAGCAAGAAAAGACCCATAGATATATTTTGTCTCATTAGCTTTGAATTGAATATAAATGACTTATTTTCTTATGCACGTTATCATTCAGATATTTGCTGTATTATTAACCTCAGGAACCATTGCAGAACTGTTCTGGGAAAACTAATGTTTTTTGTGATRTCCCTCGGGCCAACAGCTCTATCTGCACCTGGTTCAGGACACCGAACGCATCATTGCACTTCCAGACACATGAAGTCGGACAGTAAATGAATATAATGAGCACATTAAAAAACAGGCTAATCAAAGTGTAAAAAATCAGATCTGACACCAGAAAGAGTGGCAGTGGTTAACCATTGTGCAGTCATTCATGATGTTTTAAAACCAAAATAAGGAGCCTGACGTCAAAGCTCTTAAACACTCAATGGATTGACAYGATCTGAATCCAGAATTGGGTGGTGCTCTGTGCTGTTTTTGCTCTTACTGAATGTTTGAGAGAGGAAATCTGTCTTCAGAAATTATAAAAAATAAAAATGTGTTTGCACTGTAGCATTCTGCGATGACAAATGTTGACCCTGGCGTTGTGATTGTTTTGTTTTAAGCTGCCTTTGTTGACTTTGTCTTTGTTGTCCTAGTTTGTGAAATCACACTGTTAAGAAATGAGCACGGCTGTGTTGGCTCTGAAACACTCATATGTTCTGATAACGAGTCACTTCTCACAGTCTGTCCTRGTTTTTTCTGATTAAACTGTTTGTTTTTGCCGCTCTCTAAGAAAACATTGAGTCAGTATGAAACATGAGTCTTCAAGTGACCAATTATTGACTTTAAAAGCACAATCAATTCTTTTTACAGCTGTCAAACGTTGTTATAGGATCAGTCTTTTCTTGAACAAATACTGCATTTAACAATCAGAGTTAATAAGCATTGTTCTGTCCAAACCCCACCCTTCTACACAACCCTAACCCAGCCAGATAAAATGAGTAAATAATAATAAAATCAAGGGATTAAGCACTATTATCAGGGTCTAGACTTGTAAAATAAGAAAATATTGTCATATGGTATAACATTTCTGAGTTGAGCTTTTTTAATACATGATCTTTTCTAATTGAACATATCTTTAAACCATTGCCCATGAACAGGTGGCAGTGAATCACTGTTATATTTTTTAAACATTAACATTATGACTGTTCTCAGAAGATTTAGTTTAATTATGTTTTTGTGAAAATGATCAAAGGGGATGTTATTATGATGTTCTTTGCGCTGATCTGGGGTAGCATATTTGATTATTTTGACTAAGTTTTTTTATCGTTAGTCTTCTTTATTACCGTTTAAAATAAAATATTTATTTAGTGTATATATATTTACATTTAATTGAAGAGAAAAGTGTTAAGTAGTTTTAAGCTGTGTGGGTTTTTCTACAGAAAAAGAAAGCCGAAGAGGTGAAATGTGTTTGTGCTGGTTGAACACACACACACACACACACACACACACACACACACACACATACACACACACACACACACAGTTTGAGATAAAATGCTCCACTGACTGCCCCCACTCTGCTCTCACAGCAGGCGCCATTAATGAGTCAAAACTGTTATTTTTGCTAATGGAGGGTTGTTTCGATTCCATTTGCTACGTCACTCTGCCGTCCTGTCRGACAACGGGTTAAACCCCCAGCCTCACATTGATGACTTATTTAAAAGGTTTTATCAATAATTGAGTGAAGCTTTCACTCAGGGAGGAGTCCCTGTGGAGATTGCAAGGAGAGGGGACTAGAAGGAATCCAAGTTCCTCGTTCTTAAAAAAGAAAAAACGTGTGGGGATGACTGCAGGTCAGAACTGGATAAAAGTGCTCTTGATTGATGCGAGCTTTGATCAATCAGTGCTTTCACTCTGATTATTGATGATTGTCTGAGCTGCTTTATTGGTCACTTAGATCTATTGAAACAGCTGAAAGAAATAATTATTATTTATTGCACGAGTAGTCATAGTTCAGATTGTTTTGCTTTAGTGAGTAGCAAATCTAGAGATAATTAATTAAAAGCTAACATTCCCTGGAGGACTGCCCTGCCATTTTATGATGAAAAATGATGGCGTTAAAGCCATTTTGTTCAAAACAAAGTTCAGACCTTTTTCAACAACAGTCGATTTAAATCAAATGAAAACAGTAGGTGACGTTCTGCMCTTCTACACGAGCTTATTCTTTTCCAAAGTTATATTGTTGACTCAGTCTAACTTAACAGAAACACAAACATTTTTTCTCTGAATATTTTACTACATTTAACTGAGAATATTACATTTATCATCAGCACTAGTAAAAGATGCTTTGTTGCCTTCTGCACAATTCACCCTCCTTGCTAAATAAACATGTCTTGTTCTCTATCACTTCCAGCGAACCTGCAGTTAGCTTATACTGTCTGCCTCTTGTGTTCACAGAAACAACAGAAAGCTGACTTTTTTGTTCCTCTTAGCTAAAACTCAGTACAAGTTTACTGTTGAAAGGAAGATGGCTGCCTGTTTTTATCTGCAGAAAAAATGTCTACATTTTATATTTAGCACAAAAAGTAGGGAAATTTGTGTTTGGTTGATTTATTTCTTTGTTGAAACAATTGGCCTCATGCAAGAACATGTTCGTATTCTTATCCTAAATTTCTCTTACTTTTTTTCGTATGAAGGGTTCGTACGAACATGTCACGTCAGATTCAACAAACTCTTCTATCTTCAGGAAACGTGTGTAAATGAGCTGCGTAAATTCCACCTGTTCGTATC